TGTCATTCCTGGACTCATAGAAGCATCAGTTCAATCTCTGCCTCTTTCACCACATTCTCCTTGTTTCCTTGTCCCTTCTCCTCCACTCATGGGGATGCCAGTCACATTGTATTAAGGCCAACCCTGCTCCAGTACAATCTCATCTTTACTTGCATCTTATGATATTTGCAAAGACCTTATTTCCAAATTAGGTCACATTCTAAGGTTCCAGGAAGGACATGGATCCTGAGGCCACACTATTCAACCCAGGACATCAGTAGACTCCAGTGCTGAGATAATCTGCTTCCTACCTATCACCCCCCTCCAATTGTGGGTACTGGTATCTGCCTATTTATTAGACTCCTGACCAAATTATATAGAAATATATCATATCTTTAAGCACCCTATAATTTCTCTGCCATTGTTGTTTCAAATACTTTAAAACATCTTATATATCCTATCAGCTCTGCAAAATGTTTCTTCATCCTGGAAAAAAAATGTGATACTCTTTGTTTCAAATTATAGGAGAAAATAGAACACATCTCCTACCCTTGGACAATCACATGGCTAAAGAAAACAGACTCTGTGAAAATAAATACATTTCTCTGCTGACTCAGAATTGCTGGAGATGTTTTATTGCATGGAGAATGCCTCCATTTAGAAAATGTCCTGGGAAACTGAAAGTAATTAAAGGGAGAATGGAAAAGTAATAATGCAGAAAGCAAAGATTCTTCAGGGTGGTGGAGGGACTACTGTTATAGGACAACCTTCTAAATGGAAAGAAAACTACATGTAACTTGTGGTGACAAATGCTGTATATTCCTTTATTTGTGGGAGAGTGTATATTTTCGGAGTGGAAAGAGGAGGGTAGATAAAACTTCAAAAAACCTAGTATGAGGTTGAAAGGAAGTTGAGAGCTATTTTTAATCTTAGGATGTTAATTTGAACATGAGAAAAAAAGCTGGTATGCTAAATGTAAAAATCTGGATGTCATATTATAAGATCTGAAAAAATAATCTAAGTTAATTTAGCTACTTTAGTTCATTTGAATCTAGATGGAATCTAAGGAAAAATGGAAAAAGCAAGCAGTTTTGATAGTATAGATGGTTTCACCTTCTCTGAGGGCTGAATGAAGAACACACATAAGTGAATACAGAAAAAAAATCTATTTAAATTTATTTCTCTTCCTTTGTTTAATAAACACTTATAGTAGCAGATCCTGTACTATCAGAATTTTTTGCATCCTTTTACAACTATATTTTACAGGAAAACTGTGTCCCATTCTGGGCATTTTCATTCAACAAAAAAAAGAAAATTTGTGCAAGCATATTATCAAAATTTGATCAATTTGAATTTTATAAGAAAATAATGCTTCCTTTATCCAGCATTACTAGGAAATGGAGATTTCCTGGCTAAGTACTAACACTTAAAGATCATTTATTTTTAATCCTCACCTGAGGACATGCTTTTATTGATTTTAGAAAGAGAGGAAGGGAGAGAGAGGGATAGAAAAACATTGATGAGAGAGTGAAACATCAATACATGGATCAGTTGCTCCATCTTCCAAGGGATCTGTGAGGAGCCATCCCTGTCTGTGCCCTTAGTGATAGGCCACTGGCCTGGGACTCAACTGTGGATCCTGAGGCCATCCTGAGACCTGGCTCCAGTCCTATACCCCCCTTCTCCGGTAGTCTACAGTCATTCCTGCCATGCAGGGACCAGCAACACTTGTTTGTGCCCCTGGGAAGCAGGACTGTCAGCATTAGTCCTGGCTGTAGACCCTGAAGCTATCCTGTGACTCAGTTCCAACCCTGCTCTGCTGTGGTCCAGGGGCAATCGTGCTCACACAGAATCTGGCAGGAGACATGCCTATCTGTGCCCCTGGTAATAGGCCAACTGACCTAAACCTAACTATGGTTCCAGAGGCAGACTTGGGACCTGTCTTGAGTCCTGCTATACCATGGTGAGAAGGCAGACCTGCCCACCCAAGGACCTAGCAAGAGCCGTACCCACCCGCTTGCCCAGTAACAGACCTGTTGCTCCTGGATCAGCCAGCGGATCTAGAAGCAGCCCTGTGACCCAGCTACAGCCCTGCTCTATGACAGTCATAGAGGTAGTCCTGCATGCCCAGGGATAGAGTGGGAGCCACCCATGTGTACATCTCCGGTAACAGGTCTGCCATCTGCAGGCTTGATCGCAGACCCAGAAGAGATCCCATGACCTGGCTCCAATTCCGCTGGACTATGGTCCTGGAGGCAGTCTCATCCTGGGGGTCCAGCAGAGCTGTGCACTCCCATATCCCTGGCAACAGGCCTGCCAACCCTGTTCCCATCTGTGGACTAGTAGCAGCCATGTGATTCATCTCAAGCCCCACTAAATTGTGTTCTAAATGTCCTAGTTCTTGTGTTAGACTCTGAAGATGAAAGAGACAAGCTCCTGTTGGTCTTGAGGAGCTCAAAATTAGTGGGAAATTGTGTGTGTGTGCGTGCGTGTGTGTGACAAGAGCCAAAAGTGAAAGAAAAGAAACTGAAGATATAGAATATAGTACAGAGAAGACTTTTATGGGAGAAGTTGAGAACAGAAATGATCAAGAAGAGAGATTTACTCTTGGAAAAATTGAGATGTTTTTTTCCTGAGACAAATGGTGACAAAAAAAATTGGTTGTAGATATGGGTATATTTGGAGATGAAAAGATAAAATTAAAGGTATTTTTTATAAAATGGCTTTATAGTCTATTAGAGGCCCAGTGCACAAGATTCGTGCACTTGGGGAGGGGGGGGGGGTCTCTCAGTCCAGCCTGTGCCCTCTTGGAGTCCGAGACCCCTCAGGGGATGTCTGACTGATGGCTTAGGCCCTGTGGGGAGCGGACCTAAGCTGTCAATTAAACACCTTAGCACTGCTGCGGAGGCGGGAAAGACTTCCACCACCTCCACTGAGCTTGCCAGCTATGAGCCTGACTTCTGGTTGAGCAGCACTCCCCCTGTGGGAGCACACTGACCACCAGGGGGCAGCTCCTGCATTGAGCATCTGCCCCCTAGTGATCTGTGAGTGTCATAGCAACTGGTTGTACCACCTTTCGATCAATTTGCATATTAGCCTTTTATTATATAGGATTCAGAGGTTATAAAAACATTGAGAGAATGAAGAAAGTCCAAGGGAGAAATTGGAGGATTTGAGAATTGCTATAGAAAAACAGTGCCAGGAATGGGAAACACATGTATCTGGGATCCTTGAAGGCCCAGCTAAGGGTCCAGAATTTCTAGTTGTCCCAGTGAGCATGAGCATCAGCAGTTTGGAAAACACAAATGGTCATAGCAATCCAATTTTAAAGATTATAAAGTCATTATGACCAAACATGAGCTGGATACTTGTATCTATTCTACAGGGATGGTCTGATAAATACTTACAATGTGCTTATCAGGGTTCCTGGCACATAATTAGGACCCATATTTATGTTAAAATGAAAAAATCCTATATAATAAAAGGGTAATATGCAAATTGACAGAACGGCAGAACGACCTGTTGCTATGACACACACTGACCACCGGGGGGCAGACACTCAACACAGGAGCTGCCTCCCGATCTCCCTATTGCAGGCCCCAATCACCTTATCAGGGCCTGCTGGCCTACCTCTCGGTCCCTTCCCTGGCCAGCAGGCTCTGATCACCTGATGGGGAACAGGGAACTAGGGGTGGGTTATGGCAGATGTGGGTGGCATCAGGCTAAGGCCCCCGCCCTGCTGGTCACCCCACACACAGAGGGCAACCGACATCAGGGGATGGGGATGGCAAATGGGTGGGAACGGCCAACCTCTTGGTCCCTCCCCACAGCTGGCAGGCTCTAATCACTGGATGGCGAATGGGGAACCGGGGGTGGGTGGCAGCAGGGGCCAGGGCTGGCTGCTGGCAGCAGGGGAAGATGGCCCTGATCACAGGCCAGGCCTAGGTACTGTACCTGTGTACAAATTTTGTGTGCCGGGCCTCTAGTAGGACATAATAGAATGCAAAGTGCTAATTTAGAATGGAATTGTGGTGTTAGATAATTACATCTGGGATTATTAGGAAAAAAGTATAAAGAGGGTGTTTTATAAAAAGCACATAAAGCATTGAGAATCTAGAATGTTTTTCTTATTATTTATGTTGGCAAACTGGTTTAGGAGGAGTAATCAAGAAGTAGAGAACATAAGAATTAGATGAAAATTTCAACCTGCATTTTCAGAGCGTGTTATAAGGCCCATAAAGTAACTATGAGATTTGGTTAAGGAGGAAAAATATTTATGAAGGTGACTAACACTGAAGGTCAGTGTTTTACACAAGCTCAATCACCTGGAAGTTGAGAATTTAAGATCCAAGAAAAATCATAAAAAAGATAAGAACCCAGATGTGTGACTAGAAGAATAAAATTTTGGAAGAGGCATCAAGTAAGAGAAAGACAGTGACCCTAATGTCAAGCATTAAAATTTTTAAGACTAAGTTTAAAAGAGAATAAATTGCTACTTAAGGAAAACATCTTAAGTAGGAGAAGGTCAGATTTTCGTTAAGGGGATTTTTTTAAAGGAGTAAGTTTCAGGACTTTTGTTTTCTTTATGCAATAGAATAAGAATTCTAGATTGTAGAGTAGAAACAGGAGAATGGAAAAAGCCTATGGGAAGGCAAAAGTTGACATGGATGGAAAAGACAGTCTGGAATATGATAGGTGACCAGAGTGATCTTTACCTTGTGCAGTTTCTACAAACCTATGAAAGAAAGTAGACAATAAAGCTATATTAATGAAACCAAATTTCTGCCATGCTTTCAAAAGAAAGTTAAAGTTATTTTGTTGTCCAGATGACATGAAAATTCCATAGTGAAGTGTCATGGGCAGAAAAATCTTTACCTCCTACAAGACAGACTGCTCTTTCTTCAATATATGACTAAAATGGAACCTGGAAAGAAATGCTATTCCTCAGAATTCCCAATTCTTCTGTATTTAGATATTAAAAACAATGCGTGTATATCCCATTTTCTGAAGAAATCACTTACCTCCAAATACACATTCTGGGGTAAAGGAGATGTCATCAAGGGCAATAAAGATGTGTTCATTACCACTCAAATCAGCTTCAAATGCCACCTTAAATGGACTGTTCCTGGAGAGATGTACATATCCGTACATCCAACCGGTTCTTTTATTGCCAATCACTGACCACACCAGGATATTTAGTCCAGATTCCTCAACAGTATATACCTATGGGTGGGGGAAAACAGAGAAAAAGCAACTCTTTAGTTTTTGGATATTAGAAATATATATATACTTGGGTATCTTTTCCCCAAGGCAGTATAATCTTCTCAATGTGAATACAAACCACTTTTGACTTGTTTTTGCTTGTTTCCATGGTGTTTAAGAAAGAAGGAAGCCTGGAGAGTACTCTAACCTGACTTGATGTTTCAGGTTTTTCAGATGTAGGCACTAGTTTTATTTCTGTATTATGTACCCTGTCAGGTGCTACAGATTAAAATAGGATTAGTCCTTCCCTTTAATGGGCCATGTGATAAAGCCATCATCTCAAAACTATGGCCTGGTGGTTCAAAGGGCAAACTTGGAAGCAGACTGCCTGCACTTGAATCCTGATTCTGCTCTTCCTGGGCATCAAGTTCTTAATGAAAGAATGGAGTCTGGCAGTGTGACAGCTCAGGACCTTGACTATAATATTTCCTATATGTACATACTGTGGTTATAAGGTGAGCACAATATGTTACATTTTCTTTTGTTAATTAAATCTTTGTTTTGTTATATTAATTTCTGTGTGTCAAATTGGACATTGTAAAAACTCTAACATTTTTAAGCATCTAAAAAGCCGGAGGTGCTATACAACTAGAATCTCTCATTGCTAAGGAGAAATCCATGTCTAACAAAGGTATCACTGGAGAAAAAGGAAACCCTCACAGTAAGTGACTATGAGAGTTTTCAAGTAATTTCAGAAAACGAATGTCAGAAAATATTTAATATTTTGACAGAAAATCTTCCCGACTTAATTAACGTCAATATTCAGGATGTTCTAAAGTTCAAGAGCTAATAAAGTTCAGGATTCAACAAAGAAGAAATGAAATAGAAATACAGTTAGTTTTGAAACCAACCCCTGTGCCAAGTTCTAATCATTTTAAAACAAAACCTGTCACTTATAGCTCTCTTTACCAAAAAGTCTGTGCTTAAACAACAAAAAATGTAAAGCTCCAAAGATATTTTTCTGTATTTTCTTTTTTTGCTGAATTTAATAGTGATCAGTTCCCTAGATGATTAGTAATGTACTTGAGCAATCACTAATGCTACTCTTGCTTTTATAGAAAACCAAGACCCAGAGAAAACACATGGATAGTAATTGTCTTGTATTGCAATAGTCTCGCTTGTGCAATGACATTCCCCTCTATCAAGTAATCTTACTTTCTCACTTTTTTCTTAGTGTCAAAATTTATCCTATAAAAATCTATCGAAAACGTATACTAACACAAGAAGATGATAAGACCATTCATCCTGCTATGTAAGATATTATATTGGCATTCTAGAAATACTACCAAAAATTGTCAAATATTCCAGACCTGGAAATCAAGCATGTTGTCAATGTTCACCACTATAAAAAATTTGAAGTCAAGCCAGAAACTCAACTGTTAATGGATGTTAAACAAAACAGTAAAAATAAATCGGGGGGGGGGGGTAAACTGAAGAAAAATTGCACAGTTTGAAACCTGAAAAGTGAGAATTTAACACCAACATTTTGAAAAAGCAGATATTGCTTAAGCAAAAATCACGTTTTATATTGATTTATCAATAAATTAAATATGCTAAGTCTCAACATGAAAGGAATTTGTGTCAGTTAACTGTTTCCAGTCTCACACATAAGAAAACATTCATCCCAAAGTGTCTTCAGCTCCAGGATTTGGTGGATACTTAGTTGTCACATTTATGCAAATTTCCCCCACTCCCCTTTTTTAAAACGTAAAAATAAAAAACTAAAAAAGTATGAAGCTTTCAGTTCAACTTGATAACCAGACAGCTCTACAAAATTATACTAAATTGTTTTTTTTAACATAAATTCTGGGTTATTTCACAAAGATTTAAAAAGAAATAGCTTTATTTTATAACTTTTTATCTGGGAAAATCAGTTCAAAAAACCAATTACATGAAAATATAACCCAAAACTTTGTTTTCCCCCCAGAAATTCTAGCATATATATGTATTTTAGTTATTAACGTATCTGTTTTATTTACACTTCATTGTATTCTCTGCTTTCAGTCTTTTAAATCTTAATCAATCCTGGATGCTCTTGCCAAATTCCTTTTTCTTTCATTGTACTTTTACTCTACTTCGCAAAAATTCACCATGACATCCCTGATTGCACCCTTCCCCCACCCCCGCAACACATACACCATCATGAACATTATGTTTCCAATAGATGCCAACCTATCTTATCTCATTATTTCACCTTAGTATAGTCCAAATAAGTTCTGGTCAACTTCATTAACTAACTTAATTGCAATGAAACTCTTTAACAAGTTCCTGGGATGTTTCAATATTAACATCTATAGTAATAAAAGTGTGATATGCTAATTAGGCCGGACAGCTGAATGACCTTGTGGACGTCTTTCCAGACTAAGCCACGGCAGTGGGGCTGAGGCAGAGGCGGCTGCTGCGGCGAGCGGGGGGGCTGAGGTAGAGGCCATTAGGGGTGATCAGGCAGGCAGGCGAGTGGTTAGAAGCCAGTGATCCTGGATTGCGAGAGGGTGCAGGTTGGGCTGATGGACCCACCACCCCACTGCATAAATTTCAAGCACCGGGCCTCTAGTGTATTTATAATACCACCAATGTATTCAATTGAACAACTGTATGTGATGTCAAGTAATTCTGCAGCCATTATGACCAATGGAAAAATAAGGGAGATCATTTGGGGACTCCATATAATGTTGGTCAATGAGAAACACACTAAGGCTAAAATTACATGTTTTTTGTCTTCCAATAGAAATAAAATTCATTCCTTCTTACTAGTCTGTGTGTGTGTGTGTGTGTGTGTGTGTGTGTGTGTGAGTGATAACTCTCAGGAATTAAAAAAAAATTTTTTTTAAAAACTTTTAACATCTATTTGAAAAACAAATTGGCTAATATCCTTGAAAATTAATTATAATGTTATTTGTTTCTAATTTTATATTTTATCATACACATTTTACTGGAAAGCCACTCCATCTTGCAACAAAAAATTATTTGAAGTAATTTTCTAATAATCAACTGCTAGAAGAATAATTTGACTACTTCTGCTTTGAAATTTTGGTTGAATAAATACTCATTAATACAGTAATAGTCAATATTACATATTGTAAAATAATCATTTATTATAATTTTTTAATAAAAACAATATGGATTCATATAAAAAGAGATATAATAAAGTTTATATATGTTAATATATAAAGATTATATTTATGCAAAGATGACATACTCAAAGTAACTGCTTATACTTTAGGTCAAGAAAAAATTGAAAAAAATACTTGCTAAATCAAAACATGGATAGAGTAAAATGTAACCTAAATACATATTACCCAATTAAATTTATGTTAAATTTTTGAGGAAGCAACTCCTCAGCACTTGAATAAACATATCTTTGAATTAAAATATTCAATAACAGATATGAACAGATAACAGAAAATATGAGTGGTAATGATTAAATTCAGAAAATTATGGATAACAGAGATTAGTTATTTCAACAATATCCATGTGTCTAAATTATCCAGGTAAAAATTGCAATAACTTGATTAGTAGTTTTTGTTGAAGTTCCACTCTTCCTTCCTGTCTCCTTAGGTAAGACAGGAAGGCTAGAAGATACTGAAATTGCTTATTTCCCTTCCCCCACCGGGAAAGCTATCAGAGGCTGGGATGGGTATTTTTCTATCTCTAATTTGTTAAGCTCTGGTAAACTCCAGTAAATCAAGCTCTCTTTAAATAGTTTGGCTTGAGGGCAGGTCTGGCCAAGAAGATTAGAATGCTGGGTGTATTTAGAAATGGTTTCTTTTCCCCTTTTCCTACCAAATGGTTGCAGAGACTTTTCTTTGTTTTTCAGTGTGAGAACCTTGTAAGGCTGTTAGAGGAAAAACTCAGCAGCACTCATATAATTCCCAAAATTATCTGAATACCATTCACAAAAGTATGGTATTCCTCCCAGAATGTTTAACTTTCAAACGCCCACAGTGAGCCTCCAGCAATTCATTAATTATAGCTCAGGTGTTCTTACCCCAACACAGGGTAAGCAGCCCACGCCCAGGCCCTGCCTTAGAGCTGTGTCTGGGCTTCAGATTCAGCTCTGTCCCTGGAACCAGGGGGGTAAAGAAGGATGGCAGAGGCCTCACTTTTGTAGGGTGCCCTTTCCTTACTTTCTTCTGTCCTTCATAGGACCTTTGGCAGGGGGGTTGGAGGATGGTTGGTCTAGAGGTGGGGGAACAGAGGGCCAAGGCTCGTGGAGGCTCCCTGGATGGCGCGGGGCCAGCTGCAGCACTGAGGGGAATCTGGTCGGGCACCAGGCACCTGCGTGGGGCACAGCTCAGCAGGACCGCTCCTTCCAGGACAGTCATGCCCCCCCCCCACCACTCCCCTGCCTGCCACACCAATATGGTAGAATGTATTCAATTGCAAGTATGATTGTAGCTATGTGAATTTCTGGGAAAGATAAAACTATAAATTCAGCAAAAAAGATCAGTGATTGCAAGGGATGTGGAGGTGGTAGAGAGGAATGAATAGGTGGAGCACAGGGGGATATTTTAGGGCAGTGATGCTATTCTGTATGATCATCTGGATGTGTCATACATTTGTGAAAACCCATGGAATGTACAACAGAAAGGGTGAACCCAAAGGTAAACTGTAGAATTTACTGAATAATAAAGCATTAACATTGGCTCATCAATTGTAACAAATGTACCACAATAATGCGTGATGTTAATAATAGTGGAAACTTGGGGTAGGAAATGCAAGGGAGTATATGGGAATTGTCTGAATGCTGCTGAGTTTTTCCTGTCAATCTGTAGCAGCTAATGAGAAAGTCAGTTAAAAAGCAAGCAAAAATATACAAGTACAGAGCTGGTATAAAATTTTCCTTTTTTGCTTTGATTCACTCAATTGCCTAATTAGTTGGAAAATCACAAATATCTCATCCATTTTAATGTCAGTTAAAACAATTACTCAAATGGTCACTTGGTTCTCTAAACACATTT